ACTGTTTGAACATTTGTATTCCACTCCTGCAATGTCTCAAAAACTGAGACAGCAGTATTTGTAAATAAAATAATAATAAATAAAAGCAGGGCAATGAAAGAGGCATAGACAGGTGCAACAAATATGTGTGTGTGCGACAGAACTGAAGAGCCAATGACACAAGTGCTCAGCGTGCTCATGCGCATCAATTAATTAGTCCCCTAGATATAGTGCTTCCTCTAAAAGGGCCATTTCTTTCTTTTTAAACGATATCGAGGTCATGTTTATGCAACTGCCACCTTCAAGTTGCATTTGGGCTGCCTTCAAAACCTCACAAGTATGCTGACCCATGTCATTTGACACAGCAGTGCACTGCTCAAAGAATGGCTTAAACCTACATTAATTTCAATGAATTACTAACTGCAGGTGAGGCAAGAAGTAGTAGAGCGTGGAGTACCAACTAGCTTAAACCCACACCTTGTTATGTCATTACATATTGTCTGAGATTTAAATGAACAGCCCTGACTTTTCAGTGAATGTGGCATGGTTCACCCAGTCTGTACTGCAAAATATCCCACCTTTTGCTTTTTTCCCAGCTCACATGGGATTGATCAAGGGAGCCCCGCCCAATCTCAACAAGTCAGCCCACATAACTGCGCTAGGAGTAGTAGACCATGTAGCTACCGAGGTGGCACTGAGGTTGCAGAGAATTGGAATCCTCCCACCTTATATAGCAAATTCGCAAAACACTTTTCCCTAGGGTGGAGACAGTACCCTACACCACAAAGAAAGTTAAGAAGCAGATTTTCATCTATCCAGTCTGTTGCATTGTGAAAAACATAAAAGTTGTTTTTTTGTTGCCATTGTTGTAATTTTGCTATAGGCCTGTCCACTAGCAGTACCAGACAACTACTATACCTTTTCATTGAATATACCAGCATGGTAGAACAAAGAAAAGAAAATCACGAGTCCTTTGCGCATAGAAACTGACAGTGCATGGCATTATACAGTAGGTAATTACCAGCCCCCTTCCCCTTATGTCATCCCGAAGCTAGCAGCAATAGCCACAACTTCATGTTCCCTCTTACGCTGCACTTTGGTCTATAAGTGTAGTTTACTTATAGATGTTTGCCTGAAAGAAAAGATAAACATGGTCAAGGAAGACAAGTGCTCATTGAATAGGAGCCAGGAAATCATATTTTGCCTTCCATCTTCGCTTTCAGTCTTGGCAACAAGCACACACATACATGTTTTATGGCATTGCTCACAACAGAAACTTTCTTCTGTCCTAACAAAACTTCACAAAACATTTATGAAATGCAGCAGAAATTTGCAGTACATACAGTAGAATTGTACCAAAAATTATGTGAACATGCTAAACAAACAGGCTCATTCTACGTGCACTGTCCCATCCATGGTGCTTGACCAAAATGGTCCTATCTTTAAAAAATTGCAAAAAAGTTACTCACATATGAACATTAGTTTCACAGTATTTTCCCTAAACTCGTTGAGCAGCAGAATTTTTTCGGCACGTGAGGGCCTTTTGAATTTCACGAAATGGTGTAAAACCAGGTGAAAATATTTTGTTAAAATATACTATATTGCACATTGTTTCAAAATTTTCGTTTCTTCATTGTTTGAGCATTATGCTTTCATTATAAGACACTTTCACAAATTAACTTTACATTTTAGCTCCTTAGCACCGAGATAAATTTGAGCAATTTATAGCATTATGGGAAATTTTTTTACTAAAACGGTCCTAGACCAAAAGATTAATTTACTTTTATAAAACTCTCTTCCTTAAATCATACTACTTCTGAAATTTTAGTTTTGCCAATGTGCAGCCAATAGACCTCAAATAAAATCCTTAACTTGGCAAGAACACTACTGTAGCCTAGAGGTCTTTAACACGCTCCAATAAAAAGTAAGCAGAAAAGTGGAAATGATTGAGAAGCATAAGAACTTCTATCACAGAAAATTTAATTGAGTAAACTTCCATTTTAATTGAAAGGAAATTCTTCAAGTTTATTCCCACCATTGCATTATTTAGGTTGGCGCCTTGGCTTGACCTAATAGCCTGTTAGTGGGAAATGCAAACAAGCTTAAGGGTGGTGCAGATGTCGGTTTTTGTGGTGAATAATAAAAGTAGTGATCGCCAGGAGTTCATGAGAATTGAGATCGTTAAGATATGCATAGACAAGGTCAATAGACATCGCACGCTTCCGTAGTAGTGAAAGTACAATCGAGCCCGCTTACAACGAACCTGAGCCTGACGCGGCATTCGTTCGCTGTATCTCGAAGTTCGTAGTAAATGAAACACAGCTTTTAAAAAAGTTGCAAGTGAAAACACAAAATTTTTTGCCAAAAAAAGTTTGTGACGCACGTGTTTCGAAGAGCAGAAGCGATAAGGGCGGTCCCGAGTTTATTTGAAACAGCAGCATGCTCTTCGTCGAGGCCCGTGGCATGAGCTGCATGAGGCACTGGCTCCAAAGTTTCGTCGTTCCCGCAATCTGATTCCTTCAAATCACTCTTGCCGTGTACTTCATTATGCCCTAATCCAAGCACGTTTTTGCAGTGTCGGCATCATCATCAGCTGTAATGAAACCATCGAAACAGATGTCCCACCCACTCTCCCATGTCGGAGTCGACACGCGCTGCCACAAATTGCCGCCGCAGTGGTCTTATTTGGAAGCTTCAGGCTCGGCATCGGGCCCGATGTCGACAAAGTCGGCTTCGCAAAAACAGTTTCACGTGCATGTTGCCGTCCCCGCCGCCCATGAAATATTCTCCATCTCCACAGCTGAATACCAAGACGCCCGAAGAGGCAAGTGGGCTGCCAGGTGGTCAAGCGCTCTGCAACATGGCACCTGAGCCAAGCGTTTTGTTGAGCGGCAGAAAAAAGTGTGCAAGGCCTCCCGTCTGCCATCCTGACTACACACATGCACACCAAGAGGGAGGAAGACGCGCACATAGGACACACAAGCCAGAATGCGTGGTACAGCTCTGGGCCCGTTTCTAGTCGGAAAATGAAACTTCTGAATTCAAACCGGCGTGGCTGGTGTCGTGGAGTGGTGGAGTTGTTATCAAGAGAGGACAGCAGATTTGCGAGAGAATTGCAAGGAGTTGCGATAGGGTGAAGAAAGGGGAGGATATGGAGAGAAGGCGACATTGAAATCCAAAACACGTGGGATGGAGGCAGGTCGGGTCGCTTGCTTGAAAGGTTCGCAAAGCGCGCAACTCACGCGTAGAGAAACTTCAGAGAGTGCCTGTGCGCGTGGCAGTGTTCAATGCATTGGCGGCCGTGGTCAATGAATCGTTTTGTGGCGCCAGCAGGTTTGCGTGGCCTCACCGACTTTGATATTTCGCGATTCGTTCGGCGCTAATTAACAGCCGTTTTTACACTTTCGCACGCGTGCAGAGGGCATGCTGAGCCGAGTGCGAAATGAGCGAGAACAAGTCCTAAACATGAAACGCAATTGCGAATTATCAGGGTCGTTAGGGTAACGCACGCACATGCACTAGAACGATACGATAAGACAAGATGCAGACGATCAGATACAGTCGGTGGCCGACGATGTCGGCAAATTGTCTGGTCACTCTAGGCCGGCGACGTCAATGACAGTACCAGCGATTAAAAACGGAAGAGATGGCCGACCGGTTTTTGAAAGATCGGTGGCAGTGTTAAAACACGACGCACCCCTCTGTCCTTTGACCTCCCACAAAAGCGGGGGGACAAAGGACGGAGAGATGCGTAACAAAAAGCGGTTGGGAGAGCGGCAACTAGAGGAGCACGGAGACAGGGTCGGCGTTTAACAATAAGAATCTATGGGCACCTTGCCGATGCCTGATGGGTGGTCGAAAGTGGTTTCCTGGGAAATCGGCAGAGCGCCGACTCCGTTCGCTGTAACCGATTGGCGGCGCTTTGAGACGTTCGTTGTAAGTGCGATTTTGTGCCATTGAAACAATATATTTTCACGGTCACACGGATATTGTTCGTTTGAAGTGAAAGTATGTTTTAAGTGGGGCCATTATATGTGGGCTCGACTGTATACGTATGCAGCCACCTACACATGAAGTGGTACAGTGTGTACTAATCAGCATCAGAAGTATGAAAACTAGGAAAACCACTTAAGATACTCATTTAGTCACCATGCAACAACTGAAAATAGGTTAATACCTTGATAAGCATTGCAAATAAGTAACATTATTGAGCATACCTCACAAGTGCAGTGAGATGTTTTCTATTTTACCATCTATTTGGGAAGAGCTCCACAATAGTCGACAAAGTTACTGAGACATTTATTACAGGGGCCTTTTCATGTCTCAAGATAGGCCAAAGGAGCATTTTTGCTAAGTTTAGGATCTTATTTTGGATCTATTGGCTGCACATTGATAAAACTAAAATATTAGAAGATGGTACGTCCTAGGAGGAGTATTACAAAATCAATTTAAGCTCTTGATCTGTGATCGGTTTCCAACAAAAACCGTAGTTGCTGTAATTTGCCTCAGTGCTAAGAAGTTAAAAATATAAGTGTTTTTTGTGAAACCATTTTATGATAAAAGAAGAATGCTTGGACAACACAAAAACGAAAATGCTGAATCTGGTGAATTTTTAGCGATTTTTTTTTCACCTGATTTTAAACCATCTCTTTACATTCAAATGGCCTTCACATGACTGAAAAATGTCTGGCAAAAAAATATTTTGAAAAAATACTGCCACACTAATATTCATATGAGTGTAACTTTTTGCAATTTTTTTAGAGAATTGAATTTTGGTTGAGCGCCACGATTACTACATGTGTGGAAGGACTCAGCAAATTAATACACACAATGATAAAATATGTTTATCTTGTAAAATTTGTTGCTTTTATAGTTCATAATAATTACTTAAGCCTGTTGTAGGTCCATGGAAAACGCAGACATACTTTTTAAGAGTAAATTACTTGCTATAAAGTGTTACCTTGTATCGTTCATTAATTGAAATCAATTTAACATATTAAAAATTAAATTAATACACTTACCAATATCTGGCATTATGCCATGACCTTCAAAGCCCCAGAAGTTCTCACCAGTCCGTCCAAATCCAGTTTGGACCTAGATAAAGACAGAGCAAAATAATATGCCACTATATAATGAGAAATTCTGAATAATCAGTTCAATTAAGTGATGTCTAATGATGATACCATAATGATGGCCTTTGCTTGACCTTTGCATATGAGCTCAAAACCACAATACATTCTCACTGAAGATACTTTCCAGCACGATCGCGAATTATCGTTCATAGCCTATAGTAATTCATAAGCTATATAGTAAGTTCATAGGCTATAGTAATTTAGTTGTAGGAAAAAACAAATTTATTATGCCTTTATGAAACTGCTTTATTCAGAATTATTTAACGAATGAAAAACCAGCAAAGAATGTTGCAGTAGCAGAAGATTAGAAACTTAATTGATGCACAGACAAGATGGCAAGACATATTTTAGCCGTGAAATAATACAACACAGAGCAAAGAAGCACAGAACGACAGGACGGGCGACACTTCCAACTAAATTAAACTGAGCGTAAACCCAGAAATAGATATACAACATACAGACATTCATAGTTTCCCCACTACCATACGCTATCCAGCTATTAAAGAAATCTCTTTTCCTATACGTACAACATCACCGATGTATCACTGCTACACCTTTCTCCTTTCTTTTTTATGTTATAGGCTTCCATCGACTCGCGTAGTTTGATACCTACTTCTGCCTATAATCCTGATCTCTTTAAAAGGTGGTTGAAACTTGCAGGTTTGGCAATGGATAGGCAAATGCTGCCTGGGGCCTGCTCTAGAAAACTCGTGCACGCACATGATCCAGGGATCATTCGATAACCATATCCAGCGACTTGAAGCTGCAAACTTCCCTGACTCGTTATTGACAGCTGTCTCCGAAGCACTCTTGCGGAAAGCTAAGAGTGAAGGTACAAGAGCTACCACAGGGAAACAAGAAACTGAAACCATAAGACCTGCAATGATTTCTTATGTTCATAAGGCCTCTCACGACCTGAAAAAGCTAGCAGGCGGGTATGGGGTACCCATTCTCTTTTCAGCACCCGTTACACTGGCTCAGTTGTGCCTGAAAACTGCTTTAAAGTAGGCGAGCCGGCAGAAATGTGGCAAGAAACTTGGCAAGACGTGCAAGAAATGTGCCAAAGGCGTGGCGTATGAAATTTTCCTTTCTTGCGGTAACTCGTACATCGGGCAGACCGAGCGCTGTACTAATGACTGAGCTAGAAAGCATCAACTAAATATTGATACGTGTATGGAACTGTCTCCCCGACACAGCTGAATTGGCACCCAAATGAAGAAGACGACAGCGTGGTTGTTGTGGGTTGGACTCTCGAGCTTCTCCCGTTGGCCTGCGTGACTGTGCGCTTTTTAAGCCGTTAGCAAGACCAGCTCTCGGCGAATAAATCTTCCCCATAACATATTTTGGTGAAGGTGCGAGGTATTCATACAACCCGGCTCTGGAACTCCGCAGTGGATGCCAGCTTTGTCCAGCCACGATGCCTGAAACCGGCACTCAGGCCTCGCCATCCACGCCGGCTCCATCTCCTGTGATTCCCCCCCATCTTCTCGACCCTGGAACGTTTTCCGGGACGGACAGCACGGACGTCGAAGAATAACTCGCATTATTCGAGCGCGTCAGCAAGCACTGAAGGTGGGACGAGACGCTTATGTTAGCAAATATTCTATTCTACCTATGGGGTACAGCACGCGCCTGGTATGGGACGCATGAAGAAGAATTAGCCGACTGGGACACATGCAAGCAATAGCTTCGCGATTTGTTCGGTCGGTCAGTTGCTCGTCAGATGGCAGCCAGGCAGGAACTCGCATCGCGTGTTCAATCATCGACGGAGTCGTACGTCACGTACATCCAAGACACACTGGCACTGTGCAGGAAGACTGACAAAAACATGTCCGAGGCGGACAAGATCAGCAACGTGTTGAAAGGCATTTCTGATTATGCTTTCAACATACTAATGTACAAGAACTGCACCACTGTCGACTCTATCATATCTGAATGCCAACGATTTGAACAAGCTAAAAGCAGGCGAATAACCCACCACATCACGAGACTACCAAACACTTCTGCGACTTCGTCTTGCGAGGATTCTGCAGCGCCCCGTTCACTTGCGCCTCCTGCAAATATCACAAGGATTGTTCGCCAGGAGCTGGAAGCCATGGCACCCGCTTCCTATCAGCCCCCTGCGCAAGACAACTGGGCAACAGTCTCGCTTATTCAAGCCGCCGTACGTCAGGAGTTTGCTAGCCTGGGCGTCCAGGTTCCCCAGCCTGCCAGACTTATGCCGCAGCCCATGAGCACTCCCGTCCACAACGCTGACCACCACTCTGCTCCACTTGTCACTGCGGCAGCTTCGACTCCTCGGTTTCCACCACGCTACCGAAATCGATCTGAGTGGCGCACGCACGATGATCGACCCATCTGCTTTTCTTGCTCTCGAGTTGGGCACATCTCCCGCCATTGCCGCAACAAGTGGTATTTCCGGCCAAGCTTTCCTAATATCGACCACCGTCAGGACCGTGGACACTATTCGCAACCCGGTTTTCCGGATGACCATAATCATGACCCTTCAGCTCGCCGTTCATCTCCACACTCCGAACCGTCCTACGCTGACGTCGTCCAAAGAAACTGGTCTAGCCATTCGCCGTCACCTTAGGGTCGGCCGTCACGCTCCCCTCAACGTCGCCGCTCTGGCCATTCCCCGGGAAGCTGACGAGTGCAGCTCCTGGAGGTGGCGCTGCGTTGACGACTTGGAACGAAAACTCTCAACTGGCTACAAATTCAAGACGCAATTTACTTCGGGTGTTCGTTGATGGCCACGCCGTTACTGCTCTAATTGACACTGGTGCCCAAGTATCTGTTATGAGTTCTACACTTCGATCTCGCCTGAAAAAGGTTCTCACACCGGCGATGTTCTCTACTGTTCGAGTTGCCAATACAAGTCGAACATCGGTGCTTGGTATGTGCACTGCGCGTGTTTCTGTTGCTGGCCATTACACTTCCGTTCTCTTCGCAGTCCTCAATGCTTGCCCACACGACGTCATCCTTGGAATTGTCTTCTTAACTACCCACTCCACCCTCATCGATTGTTCTACCGGTATCATATGGCTCGAATTGCCTTTGTGCTCCGATTTCACTTCTCCAAGTCACACTCGGCTACGATCCGTGGAGTCTCTACGGCTACCGCCCCAGGCTGCTATGTACATTCTTCTGTCGCCCTTCCCGTCCGTTCCTGATAGAGACTATCTGGTGGCTCCCCTCATTGATTTGACCCTTACGCACCACATCGCACTACCACATACTATAGTGGTTGTTGCTAACAACACGGTGCTACTTCCAGTTCTGAACTTCTCTATGTCGACCCAAGTTCTTCCCCAAGGCATCACTTTAGCCGATCTTTCCACCCTTGATGAATGTTCGATTTGTTCTTTTACCCCTGACACTAAGACCATGGCGAAACCTGTCATCACGTCGCAATATAAGGCGTTCCTCGACAAAATGATATTCAGCGACCTCTTACCTTCCCAAGTTGCAGCGCTCAGGGGTGTTCTATTTTCTTACCTGGATATCTTTGACGTCGACGACTGTCCCTTGGGCTGCACAAGTGCCGTAACCCACCGCATCGACACCGGCGATGCCAGTCCACTCCACAAACGCCCTTATCGCGTGTCACAGGCTTAGCGCCAAGTTATACAGATGGAGGTCGAGAAAATGCTGAGCAAAGACGACATTGAGTCTTCATCGAGTCCTTGGGCATCCCCCGTGGTCTTAGATAAAAAAAAGGACAACACCTGGCGCTTTTGCGTTGACTATCACCACCTGAATCGGATCACCAAGAAGGACGTTTATCCTTGACCCCGAATCGATGATGCGCTCGACTGCCTCCACGGCGTCAACTATTTCTTGTCCCTTGACCTTCGATCCGGATACTGGCAAATTTCGGTTGACGACCGCGAGAAGACAGCGTTCATCACACCCGACGGCCTTTACCAATTCAAGGTCATGCCTTTTGGGTTGTGCAATGCCCCGGCTACTTTTGAACATATGATGGACTCTCTTCTTCGCGGTTTCAAATGGTCGACCTGCCTTTGCTATCTGGATGATGTAATCATTTCTCACCCGCTTGCCCTCCTTTGTCGCAAGCGGAACAAAATTATTCCATCACTGAGCGGGAATGCTTAGCCCTCGTTTGGGCTATTGCGTAATTCCGTCCATACTTTTACGGACGCCCTTTCGCAGTCATCACGGACCATCATGCGCTTTGCTGGCTGTTGACGCTTAAGGACCCTACAGGAAGACTCGGCCGATGGGCACTTCGATTACAGAAGTACACGTTCTCGGTTGTTTACAAATCTGGAAAGCTGCACAGCGATGCTGACTGCTTATCCCGGCACCCCGTTGATCCACCTAGCTCTACTAAATTGGAATCCAATGCCTGCGTTTTAGCCATCACTGATTTTCTGAACGTGGCCGACGAACAGCGCTGAAATCCATCGCTGCTCACCATCATTGACCGCCTTCAATCGCGTTATGCTGACCCTTCTCTTAGCAGATACCTGCTTTAAGACAACTTTTTGTACCGCCGCAACTTATACCCTGACGGCGCGGAACTTTTACTCGTCGTACCGCATCACCTGCGGAAGGATGTTCTGTGACAATTCCACGACGCTCCAACTTCTAGACATCTAGGAGTCTCTAGAACTTACAACCGCATTCGACGACGAGTATTCTGGAAGGGTCTCTACCGCTATGTTCGCCGCTACGTCGCATCTTGCGACCTCTGCCAGCGCCGAAAGAAGCCTACGACTCCCCCTGCCGGTCTTCTTCAACCTATTGAAGTTCCAGCCGAGCCATTTTATCGAGTGGGCTTGGACTTGCTAGGTCCCTTTCCTACTTCTACAACTGGAAATAAATGGATTGCAGTGGCCACAGACTATGCCACTTGGTATGCAATCACTCGAGCGCTACCAACCAGCTGCGCAATCAACATTGCCGACTTCCTGCTGTACGACATTATTCTCCAGC